CTGTTTTAATGTCATATTTGAAGCACTCCCAAATTTACAAAATTAGATTACAAATTTTATTTAACATAGAAGAAATTATGTGTTCAGTCCTAAGGTCAGAGTTCACTTCTTAGAATGACTGCTGGTTGTACTCTCCCCTACCAGACTTCAGTGGGGTGAGGTGGCTGTTTTGCCTGTTTGTATAAGAGGGTCGCCATTTTGTATTTTATTTTGACTTGATTCTCAGTCCCCTGACTATCTACGAGTCTGGATTTATTTATGCGCAAATGATTTGGGCACCTAATATTCTGTGCCAAATATCAACTCTCGACATGTACTCCTTCATACTCCTATGCTGATAAGAACGAGTGGCAGTACGATTTTATAAACAAGACATAGTCTTGTCAATAAGCAAGATTAGTTAATTGCTTTATCTATGATAAAATATAAATAAGAAATGAAATTAAATCTATCAACAGTTTACCAATAATTTTTTCACTAAATTATTAGTGATCTAAAGAATTAACCTTGCTATAAATTTCATGAAAGTAACTTCACCAAAATGTCCAGATTTCTCTGCCTGAAGTAAGTTCTGTTATAATAGCTTTAGTGCAAATACAGAAAGGACTTATTACCAGTAAAAAGAGATAATGACTCAAATTGTTAGTTGAAGAAACACATAATTAGACATTTTTTTATTTGGGTAAATATTGGATCAAATTATATCAGAATTCAAAATTTTGGAGATTTGGACCAGATATCATTTATTACTTCCCGACATGTTGATTTGAACAAATTGGTTGTTATCAAAAATAGTACCAGCAGATTCTCTTATTGCCAACAGATGGCAGGAAGAATATACCATAAAATAAATAAAAATATAAATTATTTTATAATGTTTTCTTAATGGATTTTAGATATATTGAAATATATTTTTATAAGTAAAAATTGAAGAAATTAGAAGAATATTGGTATTAGAATTTAATAATAAAATTATAATTTATTATTAACTTTTTTTTTTAATAGTGGTGAATTTGGAAAAACAGAAAAATCAATTTTTGGTGTTTCTATACCAATAACTGCAACAGTAAGTATCTATTTTTTATTTCCATACAAAAAATTAGCAATTTGCATTAAAATCATTTGGAAATTTTTTGAAACAATACTTCATTACTTTCATCTTCATCAGAACTATTATTGTTGTCCTCATGATTGTTAGCCTCCTTGAATAGTACTTTATCCTCTGTTCCGTCCAAGTCGTCGGTAACATGAAATTTCTTAAAGTCCTTTATAAACGTGTCTTTGCCAACAATCTTTCATAATTCTACTGCTGTTCTAACTTTTATAAGACTGCATGGAATTTTGAATATTTTTTATCTGTGATTGATTGTGGAAATTTACTTTAGTTGGAAATAAATTCTTTTTAATTTATATTTGAAAATACCTGGAAATCAATCAGTTTAAATGAATTTTTAATTGTTTTTTTAATAATAGTAGTATATAAATGAGAGTTCTGGATAAAACATAGGGAAATGGTCAAAAATCACAAAATTAGCTTTGTTTTTTTTTATTTAAAAAAAGAGAAAACATGAAATAACTGTTTTAAGTGAAAATCACAAAATCTTGAAAATTGGATCCATTCACCACCTCAATTTTGGGGTCCAGCACTAAAAACTTTACATAAAAATTTTTAAAAATTCATTAGAATGTAACATATTCTAACTAAATTTTATCTATATACATTTATTTTCCCATTAGAACAAACTATTTTGCATTTGAAAACCTGAATTATTTCATAGTCATTAATTTCTCTTTACTACTCAATATGCTAACTGATAAATACAGAGTATGATAAGTACAGAGTATTTTCAATACAATTAATACCAGAGTACAATATTAATTGTATTAAAAATCTTTCTACTTTAACATGCAGTACAATAATAATAAAACAAATAATGAGAAAAATTCTCCAGATTCTTTTAAAATATAACAAAAAATCTGCTTTATTGGAGTTTACTCTCATAAAGTACAATAAAAGCATTTTTTTTTTCTTTTAAAATGAATCACGAAAACATTCTTAGCAATGCATTTAGATACAGTCGACCCCCTATAAGATAGAGATACGTTCCATTCTCTAGGAATCCGCTTTCTTACGAATCCTNATTGAAAAATATAAAAACAATAAAAAATTATACTTCAGAAGTTAATTTAGTATCAAAAACATAAAATATTTGAGTAGCCCAAGACATAGCCAAAGATTGCAGTGCCACAGCACTGGCAAAAATTTTAATTTGCCGACTGGAATTATTTCGGATAATTGACGCTCTATTGTATATAGATAATTTATATTTTGGAGATGGACCTAACAGTTGAACCAATATAATAAAAATCTTCATGTTTATTAATTAGTTTAAATAAAAATGAAATTTACATAATTAAATTATCTATGTCAACTTAAATCTATAATTAAACAAGTAAAATGGCAAAACCGTATTTGGGACAAGACTATGTCTCGGAGACGGAATCACTTTGATTCTCAAGGCAGGTCTTGTTCTCATTCTCCTGTCTTCTTTGATATCGCTGCTTTTGGGCGCGTTCGTTCAAACTTTGCCGGCCACGACCACGAGATCGTCCACGATGCATCTTCGATGAAATTAACTTATCTAATTTCAAAATTTCTCTCCGTTGCGTGTCAGCCTGGGTTGAATTTTTGTCAATGCGTAATGAAAAGTTCCCGTTTTTGAAAAAAATAATTGTGTCTGTTGTATCATTCGAAATTATTTTTTTATTTTGCACAAACAATATACAGTTTAACCCTATTATAATGTCATCGAATGTAACGACAACCCTAATATAACGTCAAATTTTTATCGGTCCTACGATTTTACTATACTAGATAATAAAAAAAACCCACTTCTAACGACATAAAACCGTTTTAATATCATATTTGAAGCACTCCCAAATTTACAAAATTAGATTACAAATTTTATTTAACATAGAAGAAATTATGTGTTCAGTCCTAAGGTCAGAGTTCACTTCTTAGAATGACTGCTGGTTGTACTCTCCCCTACCAGACTTCGGTGGGGTGAGGTGGCTGTTTTGCCTGTTTGTATAAGAGGGTCGCCATTTTGTATTTTATTTTGACTTGATTCTCAGTCCCCTGACTATCTACGAGTCTGGATTTATTTATGCGCAAATGATTTGGGCACCTAATATTCTGTGCCAAATATCAACTCTCGACATGTACTCCTTCATACTCCTATGCTGATAAGAACGAGTGGCAGTACGATTTTATAAACAAGACATAGTCTTGTCAATAAGCAAGATTAGTTAATTGCTTTATCTATGATAAAATATAAATAAGAAATGAAATTAAATCTATCAACAGTTTACCAATAATTTTTTCACTAAATTATTAGTGATCTAAAGAATTAACCTTGCTATAAATTTCATGAAAGTAACTTCACCAAAACGTCCAGATTTCTCTGCCTGAAGTAAGTTCTGTTATAATAGCTTTAGTGCAAATACAGAAAGGACTTATTACCAGTAAAAAGAGATAATGACTCAAATTGTTAGTTGAAGAAACACATAATTAGACATTTTTTTATTTGGGTAAATATTGGATCAAATTATATCAGAATTCAAAATTTTGGAGATTTGGACCAGATATCATTTATTACTTCCCGACATGTTGATTTGAACAAATTGGTTGTTATCAAAAATAGTACCAGCAGATTCTCTTATTGCCAACAGATGGCAGGAAGAATATACCATAAAATAAATAAAAATATAAATTATTTTATAATGTTTTCTTAATGGATTTTAGATATATTGAAATATATTTTTATAAGTAAAAATTGAAGAAATTAGAAGAATATTGGTATTAGAATTTAATAATAAAATTATAATTTATTATTAACTTTTTTTTTTAATAGTGGTGAATTTGGAAAAACAGAAAAATCAATTTTTGGTGTTTCTATACCAATAACTGCAACAGTAAGTATCTATTTTTTATTTCCATACAAAAAATTAGCAATTTGCATTAAAATCATTTGGAAATTTTTTGAAACAATACTTCATTACTTTCATCTTCATCAGAACTATTATTGTTGTCCTCATGATTGTTAGCCTCCTTGAATAGTACTTTATCCTCTGTTCCGTCCAAGTCGTCGGTAACATGAAATTTCTTAAAGTCCTTTATAAACGTGTCTTTGCCAACAATCTTTCATAATTCTACTGCTGTTCTAACTTTTATAAGACTGCATGGAATTTTGAATATTTTTTATCTGTGATTGATTGTGGAAATTTACTTTAGTTGGAAATAAATTCTTTTTAATTTATATTTGAAAATACCTGGAAATCAATCAGTTTAAATGAATTTTTAATTGTTTTTTTAATAATAGTAGTATATAAATGAGAGTTCTGGATAAAACATAGGGAAATGGTCAAAAATCACAAAATTAGCTTTGTTTTTTTTTATTTAAAAAAAGAGAAAACATGAAATAACTGTTTTAAGTGAAAATCACAAAATCTTGAAAATTGGATCCATTCACCACCTCAATTTTGGGGTCCAGCACTAAAAACTTTACATAAAAATTTTTAAAAATTCATTAGAATGTAACATATTCTAACTAAATTTTATCTATATACATTTATTTTCCCATTAGAACAAACTATTTTGCATTTGAAAACCTGAATTATTTCATAGTCATTAATTTCTCTTTACTACTCAATATGCTAACTGATAAATACAGAGTATGATAAGTACAGAGTATTTTCAATACAATTAATACCAGAGTACAATATTAATTGTATTAAAAATCTTTCTACTTTAACATGCAGTACAATAATAATAAAACAAATAATGAGAAAAATTCTCCAGATTCTTTTAAAATATAACAAAAAATCTGCTTTATTGGAGTTTACTCTCATAAAGTACAATAAAAGCATTTTTTTTTTCTTTTAAAATGAATCACGAAAACATTCTTAGCAATGCATTTAGATATACAGTAATACCTCGACTTATGCGATCCCGGAGTTACGCGATTTTCAAATCTCGTTGATTCGTCTTTTGTTTGAGCGCCATGCAACTCTTGATTACTCACGCCCCCCACACTATTGTTTAGCTTACATGTTCGGACGTGTCGCGTGGAATCGACACATAAATAACACAAAATAAATTGTAACTATTTCTGTGTTTGTTATATCTACGGAGACTCGAGAGACTCTATGTGATGATTTCTTGTAACCATGAATGAATCAAATGACGAGATAAGATTAACGAGAACATTTATTAGCTTACATACATCCGACTTGGATTTTACACAAATTGCGAAATTATACCCCAACTTACGCGGTTATCGCTCGGTCCCACCTATCGCGTAAGTTTGGGATATTACTGTATTTAATTTTGTAAACAGTTAACAAAACATATCAATTTTTAAAAATTTTAAATATTATCTGAATAAATTGTTTAACATATATAATATATGTATTAAATATATTAATTTTAAATAATTAGGTTGGAGATCAACAAGCTTCAATGTTTGGAGAATGTTGTTTTGATGTGGGTGAAATTAAATGTACAATGGGCACAGGTTCTTTTATTAATATTAACACAGGTAGCAATCCTCATGCATCTTACAAAGGTATGTTTTTATTAAGAATTTTTATCACATAAAATACATGGTAATTTGAAAGTCTCTGTATATAAGCAAAAATGGTTCATCTAATGCAATTGCTTATGTTACAGAATATAAGTGTCATTTATCTGAATGAATATACAAATGCTTTCCTCTCATTTGAGGCAAATTTGTGTTAATGTGTCTGATATAGTTTACGTATGAACATGCATTAAAGTTATGTCCGTTAGATTTTGTTTTATATGGAGACTTTTTGAATTACTAAATATATTAAAAATACTACAACTTTAAATGAATATTTAATGAAAATTTATACAACTGCAGTGTTTTCCTTCTATAAATTTGAAGGATAAACTAAACTGTAGAATTACACTAAGCTATTTTTTATTCCATCACTAGCTTACCCATCGCGCATTGCTGCGATCTCAGAAGAAACGAAATTCAAGCAAACTCGTTATGATAAAATTAAATTTTCATTTTATCATTTTTATTGAAACTTATTATTATTATTCGCTTTCATCGGGAAAACATTTCAAAGTGTTGTTTCAATTCTATTTATTTATTGGAGTGCTCATTGATACACAATATTTTTTGTTTTTTCGTCTGGTGCGTACACGAATAAATCAAAAGGTTTTCCGACGCGAGCTGGCCACATACAGTTGTCCATGCGAGAAGCACGGATTCTCCAAATTTAGCCCACACACTCGCAGCGATTGTCAGAAGCGTGATATTCCCCATTATATATATATATATTTTAATCCTTTATAATTTTAATTATTTAA